GCCAAGATTCTGTCCAAGTAGCTGAAGTCCTGAACTTCTTCAAGGTTCTTCAGGGTACCTGCCTTTGTCCATGGGCTATCTATGGAACTTGCATTAGTAGGGCCGATTTACTAGACCCCTACAATGTAGGTGGAAATTATATGCCTGATTTAGGCAGAATCCCAGTCAATGCACCTTGGGGAACTGCCCAGTATTAATTAAAATATTTTCGTCTGGATCTGGTGCCCAAGGTGAAGGGCAAAATTAATCATTTTATAATGTGCACAGTAAAGTTAATCTGAAAAACAAAAGAATATTTTGTGTTGCACGGAATTATTGTTCACTATTAACATTATAGAGCTCTGATTTTTTTCTTTTAAAGATTCTTTCTAAATGCTGTGTATCTCTTAAGAAGCAATGGCGCTGAGGCTATAAAACTCATTATTTGCTCATTTTTTGTGAGGACGATGTCTGTTATGCTTTTGAACATTAAATTTTTCAATGTTAGTCTCTTTGCACTTTTTCTGTCCTACCTGTTCTGATAACAAAAATATGCCGTAGTGGGCGAGATGCCTGTATCGACTTTAGCCATTGTCTTTAGGCAGCATGTGTGCCTGTTCATCATGTCAGCTGAATAACTGAGCTGGCTGAACACTGCGTCAGCAAGCTAAGTCTCTCTTCCGTGTCTGTAATTCTCCAGCTCTAAACATACTTGACAGTTAGCTGGTGACCTTAGAAAGTCTTTTCATCTCTGACTCCACAAGTGGTAGCGTGACTACTGGGACAATGTTTTGGCAAGGGTAATAACAGCTTAAAACACGTTGAGGTTAAAAGCAAACATCTGAATGCATTTGTCCACATGACAAAGATGAGCCACAGTTTATGAAGTCTCACGCACAGCTGCAGTAACTGGTATGTGAACAGGCACTGTCTAACTTCTCTTCTTCTGGTTTCCAAATACTGTTTCCCCAGATCTTTGTTGTTTAAGGAATAGAAACTGATGTCTAGTATTTAAATGGATTTCAGGAGCTGGCAAAACAGAGGATATCACATTTCCTTATGTACAGTAAATAGGTTTTGTGACATCCATCAGCAAAAACTCTAAGCATTTTTAATGGGATTTATGCTGCTGTCATGGTCTAATGCATTAGAAAAGCAATAAGAGAGAATGAATTATTGTCAAATTTTTGGTGGGCAGAGTAGTCTTTTAGAGCTGCAGAGGGATTCCCTTGTTCTCTTCAGAGCAGCCTGGGTATGTGGGTGAATCCTGTGCTCATCCTACACTCCTAGCTCAGAGCTCAGCAACCTATTGCTGCATATTGTTTGTCACTTTAAGGAAGGCTTATCTCTGGGAAGAAGAGTAGGGAATGGGGCTTTCGGTAACAAGAAGGTAGAAGAGGCTGATATGAAACAAAACCAAGACTTTTCTGTGTTATGTTTCTTTTTTTATTTGTTTTTTGGCTAGGGAGAGTAAGGGATGGAGTGCAGCAGCCATACTTTTCACCAGATATTCTTTGCAAGAATGTGATTCCACTAAGATGAAAAACTTGAGCATGGCTTTTGGTGTACTGAGCTTCCAGGGCAGTTTTTCTGTAGCCCCTTGGCTCCAATCCATTAAAGATTATTCAGCCTAAAAATTGTGCCCCTAAAATTCACTGTGATTATAAGACACTTAATGCTGACAAAAGCTTAGAGAGGGCAGTCAGCTGAACATCCCAGGGAGCCCTGATGGGAAGGACATACTCTTAGAAAAACCTTCTAGAAAGCCTAAGAAGCAAGCAAAACCTAAGTATAGCAATTCTTGCTGTTCAAAGCCTTGGTCCATGCCAGACCACATGCAAGTTATGGAAGAATAGGTAGGAATGGATGTTGGCCTTTAGGAGGGCATTACAACTATTCTCCATCATACAAACATAGGAAGAGACTTTCAAAAGACGCAAAAGAGAATCAAACTTGGATCAAGTCTTTGACAGCTTCCGCAATGTACTTGACCACTGGGTGAAGGAGTAGTTCCAATGTTTCTACACTGAAATGGGAGACCCCACCTGGAGTACTGCGTCCAGCTCTGGAGCCCTCAGCATAAGAAGGGCATGGACCTGTTGGAGCAGGTCCAGAGGAGGG